TATTAGATAATTATTTAGAAAATAGAATAGTAGGGAGGATATAAAGGATGAGAAACATAGATTAGAAAAAATAGACATTATTTGTAAATATTGTTATGTATTGAAATGGAAAAAAGAAGCAAAAAGTCTTTGTTGCTTAAATGAACAAGTGCAATTAGCTTCATTTGCTCCATTACCACAGAAATTATTTAAATTTCTTATAACAAAAGATCCTAAATCTAAAGAACTATTTGTAAATAAAATAAGAGCATATAATCAAGTACTTGCTTTTAGTTCAATTAGTACAAATTTAGATAAAGATCTTGCTGATACCAGAAAAGGAAATTATACATATAGGATTCAGAGTCAACATTATTATCAAATTGGTTCTTTAATACCAAGTGATGAAGACAACCACCAAAATTTGCTTAAATATATTTCTATGATTCTAATATTGATAAGCAAATTAAAAGAAAAAATAAAGTTATAGAAGAAACTTTAGATAAAAGGATTTTAAAAGAACTTTCTGAAGAATTACTTACAATAAATCCTTTTATAAATATTTTTCAAACTGCAGAGGAAAAAAATAGAACAGAAGGAGAAAAAGAAGTATTAGAAATTTTTATTCATAATACTCATAGAAAGGATATGAGACAATATAATGCACTAATAGCTAGAGAAGTTGCTGCTATATGTTTCAATGATACTCCAAGGTATAAAAGAGATATTCTTATCAGAAAAAAGAATAATAGACTTTTACATATCTCTGAATTACATGATGCTTATAATTCTTTACAATATTCTTTACTTTTCTCTAATAGTGAATATAGTTAGCATAATAGAATATTTAAGGCAAATATTTAAGAAATTGTTGAGCAATAACAAATTCAAGTAGAAGGAAGTCAGCAAAAATCTGATAGTAATGATAAATTAGATAGTGATAATAATTTATTTGCTACTGATAAGCAAATAAAAGAAATAAAAAAAAGAATTGCTGAAAGATCTCAAAAACAAAAGCAAGATGTTGTTGCAAGTACTACTCAACTTTCTAAACAAAGTAGTACTGATATTACTGAACAAACAATCATCTCTGAATCTGAAACTGATAAATCTCTTAGTACCTTACTTGCACAAAGTCATACTGAAGTATCTCAAATTTCTGAAAAGATAGAAATTACATCTTCTACAAGTATGAGTATAAGTGAAACAGATGAAGATGAATCTTTTAAATCTAAAAAGAGAAAAGGAAAAGAAAAAGCTATAGAAATTGAGTCTGAAGAAGAAGATGATGATGATAATTCAAAATCTAAAAAAATAAAATCTTCAAAAAATTTGTTTAAAATAACTGAATTACAATATGATGATAATAAGGAATCTGAACCTGAAAGTGAACATAGTGATGAAGATTTAGAGTTATTAGTAATTCAAAAAAAAGACAAACAAAAAAGAGTTACAATAAGAGAATTTGGAGTTTATAGATTTATGCTTAAAGATACAAATAGAACTAAAAGTATCATGTATTTATCAGGAAGGTTATTTTAACAATATATAGTAGATCAATATATAAAATGAGAATTAAATAATTTAAGATAGCAAAAGAAATATCAAAAACAAATAAGAGAAGTATTATATTAAGGTTTAAGTAATATGATTTCTAATGAAGATGCCAATTTAAATGAAATTAGTAAAAGAGTAATTTTGTCATTAAATTTTACTAGATCTCTAAGATATTTACAACAATTGTATCAAGATTCTATGGCAATTGTTAGAAAGTTTGGAAAACCTGATTTATTTATTATAGTTACATATAATTCTAATTTGTCTAAAATTACTGATAAGTTATTATATAATTAAACTCTATCTGATAGACCTGATTTAATTACAAGAATTTTTAGATTAAAATTAAATATAATAATACATGACTTATTTACTAAAGGAATTTTGAGAAAAGTTATTGCTCAAATACATGTAATTGAATTTCAAAAAAGAGGATTGCCACATGCTCATATTTTAATAGTATTGGTAACTAAAGATAAACTACAAACTTCTGAAGATTTTGATAAGATAGTATTAGCTGAATTACCTAATAAAAAACAAAATTCAAAATTATTTGAAATAGTAAGCAAACATATGATTCATAGATCTTGTAAAAAAATAAATCTATTATCTCTATGTATAGTTGAAAGAAAATGTAGTAAATATTATCCAAGAGATTTTACTACTACAACAACTACAAATAAAAATAATTATTCTGTTTATAAAAGAAGAGATAATGGAAGATTTATTAAAAAAAGAGGTATTTTAATTAATATTGACAATAGATGAGTTGTTTCTTATAATCCATATCTAAGTCAAAAATATAATTGTCATATTAATGTAGAGATATGCTCAAGCATAAAATCTGTTAAATATCTTTACAAATATGTTTATAAAAGACAGGATAGAGTTTTAATTTCAATTCAAAATCCAAAAAATAAAATTAAAAAATATTTAAATGCAAGATATGTTTTTGCTTCTGAAGGAATTTGAAGATTATTTAATTTTGGATTACAGAAGAGATCTCATACTGTTGAAAAGCTTTTTGTTCATTTGTTTAATCAACAAACTGTAACTTTTCATGAATCTGGTAAATTATCATCTGTACTTAACAAAAATGTACATACAAAATTAACAAGATATTTTGAATTATATACAAATAATCCTGATGATGAAGAGATTTAACAATTAAAATATATTGATGTTCCAAAAAAATATATTTAGAATAAAAGTAAAAATAACTGGCAAAAAAAAAAAACAGTGTAGTGATAAAGTAGTATTTAGATTAAATTTTGTTAATCCAAAAGATGAAGAAAGATATTACTTGAGAGCACTATTAAATATCTGTGGTAGAATAAGATCATATAATGATTTAAAAACATTTGAAGATTTTAGCTTTAATACTTTTAAAGAATCTGCTTTTTATGCAGGTTTAGTTAATAGTGATAATGAGAGTGATACTTGCCTTGCTGAAGCAATTATCTATAAAATACCATATCAACTTAAATAATAATTTGCTTCAATTTTAGTTTACTATTAACCTGCAACAATAAAAACTCTTTAGGAAAAATATAAAGATCATTTAATTGAAGATTTTATTAGAAAAGGAAATAATTTAGATTTATCAATTACAAAAGCATTGGCTCAAATAGAAAAGTTTTTAATTCAGAATGGATTAACTTTATCTAATTATTCAGACCTTCTAATACCTAATTATTCTTTACTTAAAAATAATCAACAACCTGATTTAATTACTGAAGAATTAAATTATAATTAAGATGAAATTAATCAAACTTTATTAAATCTTGATAAATTAAATAGTAATCAGAAATTAATTTTTGATACTATAATTAAATCAATTAATAGTGAAATTAATCAAAAATTATTTTTTGTTGATGGACCTGGAGGAACTAGAAAAACATATTTATATAATATGATCTTAGCTCATATAAGATTATCAAGTGCTTTAAATAGAATTGCAATTGCTGTAGCATCATTAGGAATTGCTACTTTATTAATAAGTGGTAGAAGAACTGCTCATTCAAGATTTAAAATTCTATTACAAATAACTGAAAATACTATATTAAATATTGAAAAGCAATCTGATTTAGCTAAATTAATTCAGAATACTAAAGCAATATTATAGGATGAAGCTCCAATGCTTAATAAATTATTATATGGAACAGTTGACAGAACTTTTAGAGATATCACTGGAGTTGATAAACTATTTGGAGGAAAAATAATAATTCTTGATAGTGATTTTAGACAAATACTTCTTGTTATTATTAGAGGAACTAGAGAAAAAATTGTTGATTCATGTTTAAAATTTTCTAAACTTTGAAAACATTTTCAAACCATGAAATTAACAATTAATATGAGAGTTCAATAACAAAATGATTCTGAACAAAAAATTTTGTTAATTTTCTGTTACAAGTTAGTGAAGGAAAAGTATCTGTTTATTCTGATATTGGTAAAGACATTATTAAATTGCCTGATGAGATTGTTTTAAATAATGAAGATATTAATGATTTAATATCAGAAATCTTTAATGATATTCAATCAAATTATAAGAATAAAGATTATCTTAAAAATAGAGCAATTCTCACATCAAAAAATATTGATGTTAAAAAAATTAATCACCAAATATTAGATAAAATATCTAATGATGAGAATAAAGAAACCTTATTGACACTACCTTTCTTTCTAGACTAGCTCTTCTTTTTATTTCTCAGACATTTAGGAGAATTTGAATGATGCCTAATCTTATTACACTTTGAACATCTGTGTTGTGTCTTCATAGCTTTTTTCATAGCTTTATTTATAACTACTTTTATTGATAGCTCACTAATACAATTAGCTAACTTTTCATCAGAGTAAACTTTACTCTTTTTTATTATTAGTTTTAGGAGTAAATCATGCTTTAGAATAGGAATAAATTCTAAAACTTCTCCAGTAATTCATTATAAAAATCTACTAATATTTGTATCTCATATAGTTTGGTATGTTTCTAGAGGTTGTGGTTTATAATAAGCTTTAGATAACTGTATTGGTTGTATTTTCTAAGAAACTAATTGTAAAAAAACAGATTAGATTTGTGTGAGTGTTATCATAGATTTTATCAAGTTTCTAACTTCAGTTTCAGTTATATCTGAGTAATTATTCTTTCTATGAGCTTTTTTCAAATCTGAGTTTAAATACAGGTAAGCTCCAGATAATTGCTCAGCCTTATATCTTTCAATCTCTTCAAGTTCTGTGAGCAATTCAGAAATGGGCCTGTTAATTTCAATGTATCGAATTTCTAATTGATTATTAGAAGAGATACTATGAAGAAATTGTAATTGAATTTGTTATTTATCAATGCTAATAAGTCTAGCTAATTTACACAATTTTGAATAGAAATGACTCACAGGATCACTACTCTAAAGTGCTGATTCAAAGATTATTTGTTGTTTCTCTGCAGTAATAGTTGGATAGTTAGTCTTGAGCTAGTATATTGTCTGGCCAAGTCGAATTCCATCTGCTATGATAGTTTGTTCAGTATTAGTATTTGGTGCATTAGGTAATCGATCTGTTAGGTGCCCATTAGCAAATGACCAATTTTCATCAAATACTATATGAGCAGGAATAATAATATTTCTAGTCTGGCTCATAGCACTATGTTTTAAATTCGTACCAAGTTGTACTGCTATTCATCCTTAAGCCAGAGCTAAAGTAGCCTACTTAGTATTATCTAGTAAATTTCTCAGTTCTCAATTCTTTCTTCGAAGAGACCTTTTGTACTAATCTTTGGTATCGCCTTTAAAACATATTTTAAAAAGTTCATGTGCACAAACTCTATTGGCATTCCTATTAACTATATCAATTCTGGCAGCCACAAGATATGAACAAAAAGAATCAATAAACTCCTAAATCTATCTACTACTCCCAATACAAACAACTCATTCTTTGGAAAAAGAAATTCAAAACATCAAACTCCTTTGCTCACTACCTCAATTA